CCTTGCAGAGCTCTAAAGAGGTCTCTAGCAATGGTAGTCTTGGATACGTTGTATAAAAACGCACAAACATATTCTGGTTCAGAAATATTTTGTCATATATATGGCACAGCAAGAGAGACGAGAAGGGAGTATAGATGGGAGAGTTCCTTAGTCAACTATTAGAAAGGACTATTCGGACAAAGTTGTAGGCAAGAGTGACTTTTCTGTAGTTTTTTTTCTTTTTAATATGCTTCCTTTTCCTTCAAGCTAATTTTAACTCCAAACCAGCTGTGATTATTTTATTTTTGAATCAAATTCAGCTTTAAGGGGAAGGGGGGCAGGGAAACCAGAACCAAAAGCTGCAAGGTGGGATCCCTCCTGCAGGAGGGCTGGTGGAGAGCGCCGTTCTGGAGCAGAGCACTGGTGGATGGTAGGGGAAGCTGCCTTGCTCTCCTCATGACAAATATGTAAGTAAAAGGATTAAAAAAACCCCGGCTTTTCAAAATGCTATTTTATGCTTCCTTCATATTTAGCAGCCCAAACTTGGATACAGCACTAGTTTAGAGTGTGTTTATATTCTTTTTATGCTTGTTTTGTTTCTTCTATCACTTTAGTCTGTCTCTTCAAAGTAGTAATTTGTGGAAGAAAAAAAGTTGAGCTGATTGCAGAGGATGCATATTCCCCATCCCCAGTAAAATAAACTAGGAACCCATGTAAATGAGGCATACAGTTTATAATGAATTGGGCCGATCGCGATGATATGTTCAAGTGTATCTCCCAAAGTTCATTAACTTAATGTAATATACAGTGGCAAGAATGATACCTATGATTACTCCAATTAAAACGGTAGTTTTATGCTTTTCTGTGATGCAAGTTAGTGCTGTGAGAACATGAAACACACCTCACAAATGCCACCCAGCTGCAAAAGTGACGAAGTGAGTGTGCCAGCTTTTCCTAACGGCATGGAGAATCATCGGCATGGCTGCGGCTGGCTTTTGTTACTGCTGGAAGCTCTGGCAGCCCACCAGGCATGGCAAGACCTAAGCAATAAGTCTGCGATAGCATTGCTCAACAAGTCATTAAAACACACAATGGAAAACATGAAAACAGATACTCTTAAATGGAAATAAAAATAAACCAAATACTGCTTTAAGTATACGGCTTGTGGATACCACTAAGGGAAGGCTGTAAGTAAGTGAGGATGACACACCGTCCTGCTCAAAAGAAGTATAGGATTAAGGCTGTGCTCTGTTTTGAGCTCACTGCTCATTAATAAAGAGTGGATGGTAACTGAAGAGATGAAGAGACTATTGTGAGACACCACAGAGCACTGCATGTGTGATGTTCCTTCTGAAGCCACAATAACCATTTGATTTCTGACCCTGAGGTGAATTTTGTATACTCATATGCATGAAGGAGGTGAAAGGATATGCACTGAGATATGCCCTTCTTTCCAAATTGCGTTTTGAGAAGTCACATAATTGAGGTATAAATAAAATAACAAAGAAGACTTTTATATATATATATATTTTTTTTTTTTTCAAACTACCAACAGTTGTCTTCACACTTGCTGGTATTTTAGAGTGCTGAATTTTAAATGGCACAGCTCTCCTTTACCATCTCCTGTAAAATGCACTCAATGGAGAATACATCTCAAAGGAAATTTTCAGAAACGAGGTCTGTGATAAACAGTCCTCGGAACTTTACTTGAGTACCCCGCTCGTCTCCTATTTGTCCTATGACATCTCTGACAATAAAGAATACAGCCCTAAAATTGGCACTTAGCAATAGCCGAGTCCATATCCTTTCCCCAAAATTAAAATGGGGACCTAGTGCATGGTAGTTGCTTAAAGTGTGTGCCATTATGTGGGATGCCAAGAGGCCACCCCCTGCCGTTTTCCATTCAGATGAATGGGAAACCTATGGATAAATTACCACCTGCAGCGTGTGATAGCGGACATTGTAAGCAGCTGTCACTGTAGCTCTGTAATTATGCAAGTATTCTTCTAATATTATACAATTAGATGGCCCCATCTCCCTTTCTTTCTCTTGATAATGTTTTTGTAGGTGTCAAGAGCGCTGAACTCTCTCCTTGTTCAATCACTTACGTCTCTGTGCAATACAACCAGCACTTTCCTGATGCTGCTGGAGCTGGCACTCTTCCTGTGCCAGAGGTTGGCTTCTGCGGTATTTTCAGCACTGTATTAGATTTTTGTATTGTAAGATAGCAAAAAACATGAGGATAACTGTCAGTAAGCAGTCACGCCTTGCCTTTATTAGAGGTATCAGGTAGTGTTGGTTGTTAGAAAGATGGAGCTGGCTTTATTTTCTTCAGCAGAAGCTTCTTGAAAGCATTTGGTGGCTAAAGCGTGATGTGGGAGATAGACCAAAAAGTATCAGTGCATCCTTTATGCGTTTGAGGGATCTTTGTACTAAAAGGAATGGGAAACTAGATGGTATGAAGCAAAGCCAACTTTTTCAAAAGTAAAAAAAAATAGTAAAAAAACAGAGTACAGCTCTCAAGTAGGGCTTGATACAAAGTACCATCTTTGTAGCAAACGGTTAGTTTGTTCTTGAAGTTGTTCAGAAAAGTATATTTTATTACAAAATGTTTTGATCCTTCTCATTATAGTCTCCTTTTCTATCCTCAGGTTGCCAGTATATAATTAGCAGTGAGTTTATGAATACTAAAAGCTTGAATTTTCCTAAAGA